AGGTGTAATGTCATTCTCTTTCAGGCCCAGGATTCACAGCAAGAGCCTCAGATCAGTGGGTCTGACCCAAGAAGCCCGCCAAGCGGAAAACCCGGAACTCAGGTCAACCCTAATCCTCCCATCCTGGGACATCACCTAGCTAGCTGTATTGCAACCTGCTTAAATGTTTAAAGTGGTTCCAAAGGCTGAAAGTTTTTCTATGCATAAAGGTAACAAAGCTTCAGTGTGCAGTTCCCCCCTCAGCCCTCTAATACTTACCTGAGCCCGAAATTAAAACCCCATGAAGAAAATTATGCCACCATTGAGAAAGGAATGCTTAGCAATAAAGTGGACTTTAGATTCTCTCCGGTACTATGTCTTGGGTAGACAGTTTGAACTGGTAACAGATCATGCTCCAATAAAGTGCATGGCACAAACCAAAGACCAATAGGAGGGTGAATAGGTGGTTCCTGGCCCTTCAAGAAATTAGTTTTATCATAAAACACCACCCCAGTGTTTGGGGAATGCAGATGCCCTGTCCCGAGTGTACGCATGCTTGCCAACCTGTGTTTGTTCCAACCCCAAGTTTGAAACGGGAAAGGGGGGTGTATGTGACAGGAAGCCAGGAAAAACTATGGGTGTGTCCAGGATGGGGGGTATTTGTTCCAGATTCATGCTGTACACTGACTGTTTTTCCTTTTGTGCTGTAAAGTGAACCTGTTTGGGTTAATGAGCTCAACTGTAGCAGGTTGAGGGCTCTGGGCTCTATAAAATACCAGGCTGCTGCTGGGGGGGATGGGCTCCGACCTGGAACCAGATTTCTGTGCAGGACAGAATGGGGAGAAACCAAGCAATACTGTGGTGAGATTAATTCTGTGTGACTATGGACTTTCAGATACTGTGTGAACGCCATGTGCCTGAGCAGCGGTAGGCTGCTTCCAGACAAGTAGATAGGATCCTGTGTTTGCTGTTTGACGCCCAAGGTGGAAAGGCTTTATTTTCTGTTTGTGTGGGGGGGGGGTTTCTGTTTTTTTTTTTTTTTTGCTGTTTTTTTAGATATCTGCACTTAGTGATCACTGACCTTGTAAATAAAGCACAACTTGTTTCACCGAGATCCTGCTGTCAGGCCGTGCCTCTTTCCCCATACTTGGATTCATACAGGGGGTCACGCACGACCCGCTACTGAGCTAATTCCTCACAGGGGGATGCTACTCCAGGAATCTGAGACGAGGTCATTTCCTACATATGGGGGTACCTTTTTTTTTTTTTTTTGCTTAAATGCCATTTCATCAGTGCCGAGGGACAAGGCTGAGGCTGCCGTGGTGGACTACTCAACCCTAAGGTGGGCCTCTGACATTAGAGATGACTGAATGCCTCTCATGCACTAAAAGGACTCTTCCATACCTGTAGAAGACAGATTGCTGCAGAAGTGCCAACATCTCCCTCCCTGCAAGAGACTATATCACCTTCCACATGAACACGCTTAGCAACTGGTCAATTGCCAGACCTGTTACCCCTGGTAACCACTAGCTGTATACTGATGTCTTCATACTCCACTGTGCTAGTGACCCAAGCTGTAGACTATATACAAAGTGGTAGAAAGTTTTGAGACTAGCTCTGTTTACAAGAAAGTACTTTATCTATGTTTGCACAATATCACCTTCAAAATGGTTCCCTTTCACAGCAATACAGCACTCCCAGCATTCATGGCACTTCTGGAATGTGGCCTGGAAGTCTTCTTTTCAAAGCGTGTCAAGCATCTGCTGCTATTCGCACTGGATCTGCGCAAGGTTGTCAAAACGACAACTTTCAGCTGGATCTTCATCTTCGGGAAGAGAGCGGAGTCTGCAGGAGCCAAATCTGTCAAGTAGGATGGGTGCAGAAGCGATATCATTGCAGTCTGGGAACAAACTCTGCATCAACACGCTGCATGTTCAAATCACATGTGAGGATTGCCTGGACTGTTCCGTATGACACTCCAACAATGGCAGCATGTTGTGGATTGTTCTTGGAGGATCATCCTGCACAAGAATGGTTTACACATTTCAACATTATCGTGGGTCAAGCTTGTTGAAGGTCTTCCCGATCTCTTGTCTTCTAGTGATGTTCTTCTGCTCTTGAAGCGCACGTGTCATAAACTTGCCGAATCGATCTCTGTGGCAGATTTGTCCAGTTTCCTGCAGAATTTCATGCCTGCTATTTTTGCTTCAACTTGCTGTCCACGATGAAATGGTAGATGTGGTAATGAACGTGATCAGAATAGCACCAGTTGCACAGCTCCCGATATACACAGGAATATGTCTTTTGGCACACACTGACTTATGAAGGTCAGTGCTCCCTGTGACTGTGCGTGCAGCCTTGTACTGCCATCTGTTAGTGTGTTACAAAACTAGTCTCAAACAATTTGATACCACCTTTTATCCCAGTTGCTTGCATTACACCAGTTTTTAGTATCTTTAGACCAGGCAAAGTTTCAAAGCTTGACTTGACTAATGGTACAGTTCTTAGAGGCCCCAGCTAGGAATGATGCTCTGCTGGACCTGGTAATCTCAAACCATGCAGAGCTGATTACGAATGTCCATATAAAAGAACATCTGGGTAGCAGTGACCATAACATGATTTCATTTATTGTTAGCTGTAAACAGCGAGCACATACGGGAAAAATAAAAATGCTCAACTTTAAGAGCGCTAATTTTCCAAGGCTGAGAGCTGCTCTCCAAGACTTAAGGTGGGAATACATGATTAGAAAATTGACGACCGATCAGTCATCCGATGAACGAGAGGCATTCATTCGTTGGTCGAAATCATGGCCCACATTATCCAATCAAAAAAATTGTTCAGCGGGCAATACGTAGTGTTGACGTCTTCCGTACAAGTGGAAGTGATGCGGTGTGCGTGTGACCTTGTAGCCACGCCCTTCCAGCCAGAACGAGCGATATACACAACAATTACCAGCAATGAGTATAATATCGTTTATTACATGACCTATATACATAAATAGTGATACATAAAATATAATCTGCAGAATTCTGGTTTCATTATCTCATTGGGCCAATCTACTTTTAACATATGGATTGTTCGTTCGTGTTTACGAAGATTCCTTGGACATAAACATCCGGGTCATCTGCTTTGGCTCATGTGCGATAGCGCTTGATAGATTTTTTTTCGTACGACCGTCATACCACCGCATAGAAAATCAGTTGTTCATATGCGAAACGACAAACTTTTTCACTGTTGTTCAACCGGATTTTTTTTCGTTCACAATACTGTTATCGGTTAAAACATCCTGCTCATCAACGAAGAGAAAATCGTTCGATCAGTGGTTCCGCTAAATTTTCCGGACGATTTTCTTTGCATGTGTACGGGGCATTAGACTGGGAGGGAATATTGGCATCAATGAAAACAACACATAAATGGGAGTTCTTCAAAGACTGTATGTGACCACACTGCAAAATACATTCCCATGGGCAACAAGTTTAAAAGGCTAAAAATCAAACCTATGTGGACTTACGGACAAAATTAAAAAAGCTATAAATAATGAGAAAAGAGCTTTTATCAGATATAAAAACGAAGGAACGCTATTATCGCTGAAACATTACAAAGAAAATTAGCAGGACCAACCCCCAAAAATTCTTCCAATATATTAATAGTAAAAAGGTCCGGTCCGAGCATGTAGGCCCTTTACAGAATCATCTAGAGTGGGTGACTGGGGACAAAGAGAAGGCAAATTTATTAACCACTTAATGTCCGGACACTTTCACCCCCTTCCAGTCCAGGCCAATTTTCAGCTGTCAGTGCTATCACACTTTGAATGAAATTGTGCGGTCATGCAACACTGTACCCATATGAATTTTTTTTAAACAGATACAACTTTATTGTGGTGGTATTTATTCACCACTGGGATGTTTATTTTTTTTGATATATAAATGAAAGTCCAAAAATTTTGAACAAAAGTGTCACTGTACTACTTGTGGGGGGTGATGAAGATTTTTTTTTTTTTTTTTTTTACACGATTGCTTTTACACCTATAAAGTCTGTAAAAGCAATCATTTCTCCTTCTCCCTGGCTGCATTCCTGCAGCCATTGAGAAATGCTGTGTGAGCTTGATTGGTCACAGCTTGTCACATGGTACAAGGTTGTTTGTAAATAGCCCTGTACCATGTGACCTCTGTGATCATTCACAGATTTCACACGTAGTAAGCAATGATCTCAGAAGTGAGGTCCCGACACAGAGGTTCCGTACAGCAAGCGGTGTTCCGCTGTGTCCAGAGTACTTGCACTTGCCGGGTATCGTACTTGCACTTGCTGGGTATGGATATCGTTTGCACTTGCCGGGTATCGTACTTGCGCTTGCTGGGTATTGGTATCGTACTTGCACTTCCCGGGTATCGGTATCGTACTTGCACTTGCCGGGTATCGGTATCGTACTTGCACTTGCCGGGTATCGTACTTGCACTTCCCGGTATCGGTATCGTACTTGCACTTGCCGGGGTATTGTACTTGCCAGGTATTGACATCGTACTGTGTTTTTATTTTTAACAAATCCCCTATTATTGGCCCTTCTAAACCAGCTGCAGGGGCGTCCCTAGGGTTGGTGTCACCCAGTGCGATAACACTTGGTGACACCCCCTCTGACGATCCCTGCAGAATGGATCGGATCTGCGGATGGGGCATAATGGATTCCGATCCATTATGCTCCCCAATCCACAGATCTGATCCATCCTGCGGGGATCGTCAGCATGCAACGTATACGGGGTGACACCGGGCCCGCTCCACAAAAAGGTAAGTTGTAAAGAAAGCCGACGATCCCCGCAGGATGGATTGGATCCATTCTGCGGGGATCTCGGCTTGCTTAACTATTTATCTTTTCGTGGAGCGGGTCCGGTGTCACCCTGTGCGGTAGGTGTCACCCGGTGTGGGCCGCACCCCCTGCAGCTGCCTCGGAACGCCACTGACTAGCTGACCTTGGATCAAAAGTCCTTGCAGCATATTAAGATTAAAGAATTTTGGCCGGTGAATTCCCGCATTCGTTTGCTGGGACCCCAAACCTCAAAATACACAGAAATCCCCAACCCAAACCCCACCTTCATCCCTACTTGAGATCTGGAAGTTCCTGTTGGACAGGTTGATAAGGTAATGTTACACAAGACAAGATCATATCCAGTGACTGCGCACTCCTTGTTTACAGGTACTGATGGCTTACTCATTAACAGGATCCATGGGGAGGATTTGTAACAAGAATGAACTTTACTGAGGTCAGTCAGGACTGTTAACACCAAAACACCAGTAAAGATACAGGGAAGGCACTGATTAGTGGTCCCACCTCTACTAAAGAGCAGGTAATGATAATGGGGTTCTTTATGGGGGGCTATCATTCTGTACCTACTATTCCACCTTTTATAGAAGTGTACATTGAATTCTTTGATAAGTGTGTCCATTTATGATGTATACCTCCAATCACGTGTGTTTCCCATAGGATCTCTTGAAGGGGAATTGTAGTCTTTGTAATGCTTCTTTGCTTTTTATCTATATACTGTATGAAAGATCAGCTGTACATAACCTTTTTATTATAAAAAGTGACTTTGTGGTCCAAATGTGATCAGTGCCCCCCAACAGATAATGTGGACCCCTTGCTGTGAGTCAAAACGCTCTCCTTCTGGTGAGGATTATCTTTCTGTTCCACTTGCTGTTCTCCGATCTCCTCCAAGCACTCAGTAGTACAGAGCATAGTAATGTTGGTGCTTCAAACAAAAAATAGGGGAAGGGGGAACAGTCATAGTGTAGTAATAACTATTATTATAGAAATACATTTATATTTTCATAAACATTCCGCTTTAAGTGTGTAAACCTGATGGGCAGCTGGATTGCATTCTGGGAACACCGCTGTTCCACATGCATTACACATCGTATGTGACATCACTGGACACCAGAAACTCCATCCAATGCGTTTTGTCCCTCCGATTGGGCGTCTTCAGAGGTCTTAGAATGGAGAACAGCAAGTGGAACAGAGATTTTCCTCACCGGAAGGACCGCTTTTTTTTTTTTTTTTTGCTCACAGCAAGGGGTCCACCTTCTCTGGTCAGTGTGGTCACAAGAGGGGCACTGATCAATGATCACAGTTTGAGTACAAAGTCACTTTTTATGGTTTGCAGAGCACTTTATTGGAAAGGATACAATAGTGAATTGGAAGCACTTAACCACAAAAGTGGATGTTTTATGGACACTTTTTTAAAATTTGATAATAAGGTTCAGTTATACTGTTGAACGCTGTGTGTATACTTTTTCTTTTCATGTATTAGTGGGTTACACTTGAGCAGCAGCACCGGTATTGATATTGTTCACCTTTTGTTTATTATTTTCACCTATAGCGCAAGTAGTTTTTATTGTATGAAAATGTCCTAACACCCTTTTATTTGTGTAGATTGTATTATACATGTACATAGAAGGCAGACCTGTTTACTTAGACCAGCTCTGCTTGCTGCTCAGTGATTCTGTCTGGCTGCTCCTTATATCTCACTGTGGGTCCAGGGAGAACTGGGCTGGGGGCAGAAGAGTATTTGTTCCCCTCCAGCCAATACAAATTTTGATATGTTGTGCTGGTAGCCCTCAGTGGAGATACTCTTCTATTCTCTTCCATTATCCAATTCTCTCTACTCCCCTGTATTATCCAACCCCACTGTCTTCTTTGCTCCCTTTCATTATCCAGCGTCACTGCCTTCTGTCTACTATCTTCCATTATCCGGCCCCACTCTCTTCTGTCCACAACCTCACTCCCTTTCATTATAAAAACCCCACTGCCATCACTTCACTCCCTTTCCATTATGTGGCTTTACTGTCTCCCACTAATCCTTTCCATTATCCAGCCCAAATGTCTTCTCTTTAATCCCTTTCTTCCATTATCCAGCCTCAATTATTCTCTACTTTCCATTATCCAATCACACTGGTTTCTCTCTACTCTCTTCCATTATCCAGCCTCACTGCCTTTATTTGAACCCCTTCTATTACCAAGTTTCATTCCATTCTCTCTACTCCCTTTCATTATCCAGCCTCACTCCCTTCTCTCAATCACTTTTCATTATCAAACCCTGCTGTCTTCGCTGTACTGCCTTCCATTTTGCAGCTTGACTGCCTTACCAACACTCCATGATTCATCCCTACTGCCTTCCCTTGACTCCCTTCCATTATCCAACTCAATTGCCTTCCCTCTATTCCCCTCCATTATGGCCCTCTGTTCTCCTAGATTTTAGGCTCTAATGCGCAGGGCCCTCTGTTTCCTCTTGTACCAAATTGTATTGTAACTGTAATGTCTACCTTCATTTTGTAAAGTGCTGTGCAAACTGTTGGCGCCATATAACTCCTGTATAATAATAATTATCCAGCTCAACTGTCTCCTCTCTACTCTTTTGCATTATCAATCCCAAATGATTACCCTCTACTCACTTGCATTATCCAAACCAAATGCCTTGTCTCTACTCCTTTACATTATCCAGCACAGGGGCTAAATGGTTAGCACTTCTGCCTGGCAGCACTAGGGTCGTTGGTTCAAATCCCAGCCATGGCACCACCTGCCTGGAGTTTGCATGTTCTCCCTGTGCCTGCATTGGTTTCCTCTGGGTACTCCAGTTTCCTCTCACACTCCAAAGACATGCTATTAGGTTAATTGGATCTAGTCTAAATTGTCCCCAGTATGTGTATGTATGAATGTGAGTTAGGGACCTTAGATTGTACACCCCTTGAGGGTTAGGGACTGATGTGAATGTACAATATATATGTGTAAAGCACTGCATAAATTGATGGTGCTATAATAAATAAAAAAAATACATTTATCCAGCCTTTTTTCTATGCCTTTCCATGCCTTTCCATTATCCAATCACACTGGTTTCTCTCTACTCCATTCCATGGTCCAGCCTCAATATTTTCCCCTCTACTTCCTTCCATTATCCAGTGTCACTGCTTCCTCTCTACTCCCTTCCATCATCCATCCCCACTGCCTTTATTCTACTCCCTTCTATTATCCAACCCAACTGCTCTCTACTCCTCCATCATCCAACCCCATTGCCTTCTCTCTACTCTCTTCCATTACCCAGTGTCACTTCTATCATCTAATCCCACTGCCTTCACTCTACTCCCTTCTGTTATTCAACCCAACTGCTCTCTACTCTCTTCAATCATCTAACCCCACTGCCTTCCCTCTACTCCCTTCTATTATCCAGAGGTCTGACATTCCTTCTAAGTCAAACCAAATACTCCCTTTTAATCATAGAGCTCTGACTAAGCAGGGGGTATTTCAATCCTCTGAAAAGAGAGCAATGATCCTTCACTGCAGCATGCTGGCAGTGGCCAGGTGTTTCTACTCGGGTTGTGGCTGATTTTTAAATGAAAACAAACTGTAGGTCTTTGCACACCCGAATGCCCTCTAGGTTCTTTGGTATATAGGGAAGTTATTAATCCCACAATCAAACCTCGCTCAGACTCTGAAAAACAGGAACTGTAAAGCAGAGTTTCTAACCAGCAGAGGAGGGTTTGGATTATTTGACCTGGGGGCAAACACAACCGACTAGTCCTTTCATGGTGGGGATGGATTTCTGAGGGCTAGTTAAAGTCTAC